CCTAAGAAGAGTTAGCAAGACAAAGGAGAACATCTGGGGCACTATTTATAAAATTAAGCCAACATACAAACAAGATATCATGGAATAAGAGAAACCATGTGGGTTAGTGGAGGTGTTGGATTTAATCTAATTATCAGGGTGAATTCTCAATTCTTTGCCTGCTCAGTTTCCTCATATGAAAAGCTGTCCTTTCACCTACTTTATAGTATTCATGTGAAAAGTCAGTGGTAATACAAAATATCCATCCAGTATCAGCTCCCACATTAAGAAGAACTGTGACCTTGGATTTAATTAAATTAGGCTTCATGAAACAATGGATAAATCTTAAAACGTCCTCAGAAGGAAATCTTAGATTTGTATTTAACAAAATATGAGAAAAGGGCCTATGTATAAAAATACACTGCCACTCCCTGCTACTAAAGTAATATGTCATGAATTGTAGGCTCACCTACTAAAGAATTGAAGTTGAATAGAAGGGCAAGAGAACATTTAGGATGAGAAACAGCCATGAATAATGGTATTTACATTAAATTAATGGCCACAGGTAGAATAAATTTTATCAGGAATATGTAGTGTTTGTTGAAATCTTGTTTGAATAAAAAAAAATTTAAGGATGTCTTTCTGGGGTATAGCAAACAAATTGAATGTACTGTTTAACATGGTAAATTCTAATACACCTATTTAAAATTAAATGAGGACCAGCAAGCCGTCAAGAGTTGCCCACTTTCACAGATATTATTAAGAGTGGCAGTTGACAAGAAAAACTAGAAGTAATAAGCTAGAGACTGTTGCTTCATTTTATAATTGTAACCATAGGCATTTTAAATCTCCCTCTTCTGTAATTGAAATTATTTTAGTTCTTCTATTTTACCTTTGAATGTTAATACATTATTTGATTTTTTTATTTTTTAGTTTATTTTTTGATGAGTATATTTTTGTGATACACAATAATTATGTTTATTGGGCTGGGGAGATGGCTCAGTGGAATAAGCGCTTCCCTGGCAAGCACAAGGGCCTGAGTTCAATCCCCGGTTCCACCAAAAAAAAAAAATTATGTTTATCTTGGAGAGTAGTACACATGCACATCACATCTTAATCTTTTTTATGTCCCTTTCCCCTCTCCGCCCTCACACAGCTCCATCTGTGCCAGATTTGTCTTAGATCCCTTCATCTCTAAAACGTTTCCCTCACCTT